CTCTACATCAAACCATGGTTTTGGAAAGGCTAAAAACCCACAGAGGAAGGGACCTGTCGGCCAGGGGCAATCTGGGAGGGTGTCCTGGGGGAGGTGTCATCTGAGAATCTTTGATTCCTTAAACTGTTTAAGGAGAATTTCTAGGTAGCCTGGCACTTAAGATGGGTCTTCCAGAATGAATGGAGGAGTTTAGAAAATCACCTTCATTTCTACTGAAAACGGAGGAAAAAAAGGCAATTTTCAGTTCTCCTCCCAGGCGCTCAGGATAAGGAAACTCGGCTGCTGCTGAAAGAGAACCCCGAGGCTCCACCCAAGTCTCCCTGCAGGCTGCTCAGGGCGGCAGCCCACGGGGGCCATGAGCAGGGACCACCGTAGGGGGACAGTGTCCCGTTCAGCATCTCAGGAGGAGGCAGCTGGTTGCGACAGGGGCAGTGGGGGGTGGGGGAGGGGAGGCCACCGGTAACTCGCAGCTGGGGACCCGGGGCTCCCAGCTGGGCTGGGGGGAGCTTTGAGTGTCACCTGCAGAGGTGTGTATTCTAACGAGGGCTTGCACGCACAGGCTCTGAGTGTGGGAACACATAAGGTGGGGCTGGTGAGGACCAGAGAGCCGCGGAGCCCACCCTCCATGCCCACCTGTGATTTTGGTGGCGCAATTCCAGACTGCCACAGGATGAGTAAGAACCTCACGGCCGGCTGACTGGGCAGGGTCTCCGGGTAGGGCTTCAGGCGACAGCAAGAAGGGTCTGGAAGGTGCGCCTTCTCACCTAGAACAGGCCAAGGCCCGGAGCCAGGGAAGCCCAGGGCAGTCGGGTCCCGGGGCTGCCCCCGCACAGAGCCCTGGACGCCCTCCCCTCAGTCTGGCAGATGGGATGTCCTGATGTGGGCCCCGCGCAGGAGCTCCCCAGCTGTGCTGCACAGGCTGGTTCCGCAGATTCCCAAGCCCCTGTCTCTTGGGCCTGAAGCCCCTCGCTGCGTGAAGCCCAGGCAGCAGCCGCGGCCAGGGGTTCCTCCTTGAGGTGAGGCCCTGAGTGGGTGCTAAGGCGAAGGGGGACAGGGCCCAACAGCTCAGCTGCAACTTCTGAACTCCCGGGAGGCGGCCCCGGCTTGGACACATCCCCCCAGAAAGCGCAATAAAAGGGGTGCAAATTAAACGCCCCACTGAGCTCGGGACCCTGGCTCCCGGGGCCGCGCCTGCCTCCCCACCACTAGGGCCAGGGCCATCTGCCCGGCTCCCAGGCGCCCCGGGAGGGCCAGCCTGCTCTTGTTCCGGTGCCTGCGAGGGCCGCGTGCAGCCGCTCAGACACCTTCCTATACTTACACGTGCGTGTGCGCTCGAAAAGCCTTCTCCTTCCTCATAGGGTTGTAAGTGTATTTAGATAAATGCATACTTTTCAAAAAAATGGAGGTACTGGGGATTGAACCAGGACCGCGTGTATGCTAAGCACGCCCTCTGCCACTGAGCTGTACCCTCCCCCCGCCCTCCTCCAAATGCATACTTTTTAAATCAGATGTTTTTCCATTAGATCTTTTTTTTTAAAGTACACTATTTTATTGTAAATAAGCAGTTTAGTTCTATTTATTTATTTATCTTTATTGTGAGGGGAGGGAGGTAATTAGGTGTATTTATTTATTTTAATGGGGGTGCTGGGGATTGAACCCAGGCCCTCAGATGCGCCCTACCACGGAGCCACACCCTCCCCACCACCCCTGATAAAAGCATACTTTCAGCCTTCCCAGGAGTGTGCACGTCAGAGCGCCACGACACTGCTGAGGCCAACGGGTGCCTCTGCCCAGCCGACCCCGCTCTACCCCGAGGCAGCTGGGATCCCGCATTTGCGTTTTTCGTGCTGCGGCTTCTCTGTTTAGTGTCGTCACCTGCTCACAACCCTAGACGGTACACTGATTCATCCTGTCTCCTTTTTAGGGAATCTTTCATAAACTGGATCCTACCTTACGCACTCCTCTACAGCTCAAAGTTTTCACTCCACGCTGCGTCTGAGACTGACTGTGCCAATGTGCAGAGCTGTCATTCATTCGTTTTCCCACAACACACCCGTTTCCTGATATTTCCTTTGTTGTTAGACAGCGGCATCACTCCCACTTTCCTGCCCCGGCGGGCAGAGCAGCTTGGAACCTTCCGGTGCGTGTCCCCTGGCGCTCGTGTGAGTCTGGCCGGGCAGGGGGCGGGCAGGGGGACCCCACAGAGTGAACTGCCAGTTCTTGCGGTTGGTGCATTTCCAATGTCAGCAGACAACGACAACTGCTTCTAAAGAAGTCGTGCCTGGGGTCTTTTTCATGTATTTCTTCTTAAAACAAAGCGTTGGAACCTGAAAATGCTCTGAAAGGCCCGGCTCTGAGCAGTGCTGTGGGCTGAAACGTGTCCCCTCAAAAGACTGGCTGAGTCCGAACTCCCAGCACCGGGGAATGTGGCCTTATTTGGAAACAGGATCTTAGCAGACGTAATTAAGAGGTAAGTGAGGATGAGGTCCGACTGGGTTAGGGCGGGTCCTCAACCCAACCAAAACCACTCCTAAGAAGAGGGAACTGTGGACACAGACTGACACAGGGGAGGAGGCCACGTGACAACAGAGGCCGAAAGCAAAGTGGAGCAGCTGCAGGCCCAGGACTGCGGGCGGGCGGCCCCAGAAGCTGGAAGAGGGACGGGTCCTTGCCTAGAGCCTAGAGGGGTGGGCTGCGGCCCTGCCTACACCTTGACCTGGGATTTCTAGCATCCAGAACAATGAGAAAATACATTTCTTTTTTTTTTTGAGGGGGAGGTAATTAAGTTTATTTATGTTTAACGGGGGTACTGGGGCTGGAACCCAGGACCTCGTGCATGCTGAGCGCATGCTCTACCACTGAGCTGCACCCTCCCCGAGGAGACACATTTCTGCTGTTTTAAGCCCCCAGCCTGCCGTTCGTGCTACAGCAGCGAAGACACTGACACAAGCAGCACTCTTCCACCGGCCGCCACCTAACTGGGCCCACGGGTGAGCACCCTCTGCAGGGAAATGCGACTGCACAGGAGCCACCGCAGAGGAAGGGTGGCAGATGTCACCTGCAAAGGTCGGGGTTGAGATGTTTTAGGGTCAGGGTCACATATTCTCG